CAAAAAATATAGGTTATAGATGGGGCTTCTCTATTAAACTACTAATTTTCCATAAGGGGATAATTCCAATGAAAGACCCGGTTGAAGATCGTGCAAAATTGAAAGATTTAGGTATCCTTATATAATTTTAGAAATGATTGAAGACCAACAGGAGTTATTTATTTATTTTTTTACATGGTATAACCTTAGAAATTCAAGATATACTATTAAGTGCACTAATTACCTTTATAATGATAAAAGAGCACTTTTTTTGTAAAATCACAAAATTAGAGAAGAACCCTGTTTCTAACCTATGCTATATAATTACAAGGAGTCTACACAAAACTCTATATACAATTGGCTAAATTAGAAAATAGGAATAAAAATAATTCAATATATCAATTAAAGATGAAATCTAAGTAATGCAATTACAAATTAATCAAATACTCGGGGATAGTGTCAAGAAAATGACTTTGATTCTTAATCAAAAATGGTATAACAAAACTTAACAACTTAAAGGACTACTCTAGGCACCCAGACCACTTCAGCTTAATGAAGTGGTCTGGGTGCCTGGTCCAGCTAGTGTTAACCCATTTTTTCATAAACATAGCAGTTTCAAAGAAACTGCTATGTTTATGAATGGGTTAAGCCTTCCCCTATTTCCTCTAGCTGCTGTCTCATTGACAGCCGCTAGAGGCGCTTGCGTGCTTCTCACTGTGAAAATCACAGTGAGAGCACGCAAGCGTCCATAGGAAAGCATTATGAATGCTTTCCTATGAGACCGGCTGAATGCGCGCGCAGCTAGCCGACGGGGAGGAGAAGAGGAGGATCGGAGGAGGAGAGCTCCCCGCCCAGCGCTGGAAAAAGGTAAGTTTAACCCCTTTCCCCTTTCCAGAGCCGGGCGGGAGGGGGTCCCTGAGGGTGGGGGCACCCTCAGGGTACTATAGTGCCAGGAAAACGAGTATGTTTTCCTGGCACTATAGTGGTCCTTTAAATAAACTTATAACTGCAGAAGAAATTAAAGAATTTTAAAAAATGGGAAGGCTCCTGGTCCAGATGGATATACATTGCTTTTTTATAAAGCCTTTGAACCCATTATATCCCCATTACTTTGTAAACGTTTTGCGGAAATTAATTTGTCAAACAAAGTTTCATCAGATCTGTTGGCTGCAACAATCTCCCCAATTTTGAAACCTGGGAAAGATCCAAATTTTATAAGTAATTATCGTCCAATCTCACTTATAAACTTGGATATGAAACTTTTTTTCTAAAATATTAGCTGATATACTGTTGCTGATCATTTCTGATCTAATTCATACATACTAGTCTGGATTGATCTGGGAGCGACAATATATGGAAATTCTCAAGTATAATACTGAAAATGAAAAAAGACTGCATTCCGCCAAAAAGGTGTTCGACAGAGTTAAGTGGAGATTTCTACAAGAAATACTAATGGCCTTTGGTATTAAGGGAATATTTAGAGATTTGGTTTTGTCACTTTACTCTTCCCCGAAAGCTAAAATCGTTGGTAATGGGCTAAACTCCAAATGGTTTGACATTGGGAGTGGCACACAACAGAGGTGCCCATTAGTGCCCCTGCTATACGTGCTTTCAAAAGAACCTTTAGCTGAACACATTAGACAATCAGTTAACATTCATGGTACTTTTCTGGGAAAACAGGAGCAAAAAATAAACATATATGCGGATGAATTAATTTTAACGCTTGCCAATCCAGAAATTTCTAAACTTCTACAAGATGTAAAAATAAAATAAAAAAAATCACTTATAAGCTGGAAAAAGCAGATCTCATGGATAGGTGGAATAAATATTATCAGCACATATATCCTGCCTAAAATAGAATACCTTTATCGCACTCTACCTTTTAGAGTGCCAAGGAGAATTCTGAACCAATTTCAAAGATTAGTTGAATCTTTAGTTTCGCGTAAGGAAAAAAAAAAATTTCAAGTCAAATTATGTTTATAAAATTCAATGAGGGCGGCTTGTCCTTCCCTAACATTTTCCAGATTCATGATATAGCGATGTTCTCCCACTTTTTAGAATGAGGAAAGGAAAACTCAAAATTGAAATCATGGTATATGCATGAAAAAGAAATATGTCCAAACATTGACCCCTATAATCTCTTCTGGCTGACTCAAAAACCTTTAAAAACCTTAATATTAACCATCTAATAATTCATCAGATCTTCAGATCAATTGAGCCTTTAAAAATAATTTTTGATTCTCGACTTTTATTATCAAAACAAGCTCTGTAAGGAAACCTAGTTTCAATCCTTCAATCCTCATTCGGTAGTTTCCTCCCGAACCGCCAGAGCATCAGTGAGCATAGCTCTCCGTTTGGTAGATGAAATAGATGAAATCCATACGAATACAAATAGCTTTATAAGATAATTCCCTTAATAAAGCATACGAATCCCCAAACATCAGCCGAAGTCAAGAAGAAGGGTACAACAGAACTGGCTTTTAATGACCACACACAGTTTTTTATGCAAGTCCCCATGCAAGGGTACATCCCACAGGGAGGGACACAGTATAACCAATCAGTTACAGGAAAACAGTAAAACACACACATACATACATACAATTCCCTCCCCTAGTCCTGGAGAAAATCAAGTCTGATAAAGTAATAACTTTATTATCTCCAGGCAGAAAAATCAAAATTTTTCCCAATATTCAGAACACCCACAAATAATATGTCCCCTGATAGCCCCGATCTGGGTGACCAACATATTCAAATTTCACCCAGATCGGTTCAGGGGTTCTCAAAAAGTGTGAAAGTCCTTTGTGACCAGCTAACCGCGAGCTGGCTGCCCAAAATAGTTCCAGGAGTTTGGGTGGTTTTGCTGGCCTATTCAGTTAAGTGGTGAAAACCGAATAATTCCACGAATGGATTCCCCTGGCTCTTAGCAGCGATTGTTCCCCTCATTCGAATGCACAAAAGTACCGAATAGCGCTCTTCTAGCTATTCGGGAAATAGAGATCCAGGGTTCGCTTGTTGAGACCGGTGTTCGGGAAGTCGAGTGTCCGATTTTAGTTCCAGACACTCGACGACCAAGTCCCGCTGCCTTTGTTCGCCTGAAAAAAGATGGCTGCCGTTTTCTCAGCCACGTGGTGTTCGGTAGTACGAACGCTGGCCGCACAGATAGAGGGTTCAATTGAAGCATTCTTTGAAGTTTAACGAGCCAGGGGGTGGTCTCTGCTCGGTAGTTATATCTACCGAATGAATATGGAAGAAATATTATACATAGAGAGGGATGTCTTCACAAGCTCCCTTAGAAACATTACATTTTTTATACAAGATATAAAACTGTCCATCTGGATTGAAAAGGGCATAAATAAAATAGGACATATTTATTTGAACAATAAGATCAATTCATTTTCAGACCTCCAGACCCGCTATAACTTACCTTCTAAATAATTTTTCTCCTATCTAACAATCATTAACTGTTTGGATAAAATTAAATTTATTGACCATATGATATTAGATATGATTATATATGGAACCTTAAAAAAAAAAAAAAATCCCTGTTGATTAGAAACACTATTACTAAACTTAACAAGGACATAAAATCAAGCTCTACTGTAAAATGGGAACGGGTTAGGTTGAACTTTGAAAAAAAATTCCAGGTTCGAACTTGACCCCGAATTTGACCCCGAACCCCATTGAAGTTAATGGGGACCTGAACTTTTGGGCACTAAAATGCCTCTAAAAAAGTCCTGGAAAGGGCTAGAGGGTTGCAAAAGGAAGTAAAATGGGGATCAGAATAGAACAAGTGCCCTGCAAACAAATGTGGATAGGGAAATCGATTAAATAAGACAAAATACATGAAATTAAAAATACAGCTGAGCCATACAATAGCACTGGATGGAATCTTTGATTTTAGCTTTGGAAGAACATAAATCAAAATCTAAAGCATGGCTGTCAGGAAGATCACAAGAATTATCTATTTGAGAGAGGGTTGGAGTGCAGGGTATTCTCTTTCATTGTTCAAACTGAGCTCAACTCCTGATGTATGGAGAAAAGGCCTTCACAAGCCTCTGCTATTGTGTACATAGTTTATACTAAGTGACCCATAGGTTGAGGAAGCGGTGACCGTGTAGGTGGAAGCAGCGGTGGAGGAGGAGGTAGCCAACACTGTTTTTTATTTGTTTTTGTTTTTTTTAATTGGGGTAGCCCCCAAAATATTGGGACATATAAAAAAAAGAAACATTTGCAGCCTGTGGTGCATTTCTTGCAGTCCAATAACGCCATCAGGTTTTTAAAACTGTCCATCTCCACCAGACGGAATGACAGCATTTCAAAGGCCACGAATTTTGAAAAGCTGGCATTCAGGGCCAGGGAACGCGGGTGGCTAGGTGGGGTACTTTCTCATTCTCAAACTGGCTAGGCCCAGAGCTGCTACGAGATTTCGCCCGTTATCGCACACCACCAGACTGGGCTTGAGGCTCAGTTGCAACAACCACTCATCGGTCTGTTGTTCCATGCCCGTCCACAGCTCCTGTGCGGTGTGGGGTTTTTCCCCAAAAACATATGAGTTTAAAAACAGCCTGCTGTCATTTCCCCCTGGCTGTGCTGAAGTTGGTGGTGAAGGAGTTCCGCTGACCGGATGAGAAGGAGGAAGCGAAGTAAGAGGAGGAGGCAACAAGAGGCAAAGCTGTGTACCCAAATAAAGATTGTCAAACGTTGTATCCTGGAACTGTGTCCCATCCAGTTACTGGGGAAATGGGTCTGACCTATTCTAATCAAAGGGGATAACCATTGGTTACCCAGGTCCCGCTTCAATTGGTGGTAAATGGCGGGATCCCATGTCCCTGCCAACAGACCCATGGACTACAGTGCTCTATAACGACCTACTGCAGGACTTGTGTGGAGGCAGAGGAATAACACCTGTTGGGCGTAACAAGGCCGAATTGACTGCTGTGCTCATTGAGGACGACCAGGCACGCAGTGAGGCAACAAACCCCAGCCAGGGGACAGCGTCTCGGCATCTCTCAGCATCTGAGGCAGTACTGCCAGATGTCTGCCAGAGAGTGGGGAAGAGACAGGACCGGCACAGGGCCCCCCTCCATTCCCTACCTATTAGTGAAGATCCGTTCGGCAGAGTAGCTGTCAACATTATAGTTGCGCAGGCACTTTGGTGACTCTAGAGAACCTCGGGCCAATCGCACGTCCCCGTGACGGTGACTTTGCATTCGGATGTCTGCCCTATCAACTTTCTGCACCTACCATGGTGACCACGGGTAATGTAGATTCCAGAGAGGGATCGATTCCGGAGAGGGAGCCTGAGAAATGGCTATCACATCCAAGAAAGGCAGCAGGCGCTCAAATGACCCACTCCCGACGCGGGGAGGTAGTGACGACAAATAACAATACAGAACTCTTTAGAGGCTCTCTAATTATAATGAGTCCACTTGAAATCCTTTAACTCTGATCAACTGGAGGGCAAGTCTGGTGCAGAGCGGCTGACCCGTGCGTGCTGCAGCTGAAACTCCACTATCGCCTGCTGCTGCTCGCACAGTCTCTCCAGCATGTGCAAGGTGGAGTTCCACATTGTGGGCACGTTGCATATGAAGCGGTGAGCGGGAAGGCCAAAGTTACACTGCAGTGCAGACAGGCAAGCAGCAGCAGGGTGAGAACGCCGAAAGCGCGCACAGCCGCTACAGTGAATGTCACATCCTGTTCCAAGTTGCGGATCAGTCTGGTGATGGCTTCTGGTATCCAGTACTCTTTACTGAAGCTGCGTCAGGGTCCTGGTATGTGGCCGCACAAACGCTGGTGCTCAACACCAGGGGGCGTGCGGTTACCCTGCACCAGACCCTGCTAATCCATTCCACACTGTGACTCCTAACTTCCACATCAGGCATACTGGTTCCCAGTCACAGTGTCTGGGTCCCTGTCACCGGACTGCGAAACTGCGAATGGCTCGTTAAATCTGTTATGGTTCCTTTTATCGCTCCATCTGTTACTTGGATAACTGTGGGAATTCTAAAGATAATACATGTCGACGAGCGCTAGGGGACGGCCGCTCCGCTTTTGCACCATGCTCCCTCTTATGCTGTGCTGGTGCCTCTGTGCGACCATCGCCTCTTCCTCCAAACTGCACATGTCACTCACATGACCTTCATTCCATGTGGGGTCTAGGACCTCATCATCCTCCACATCATCTTTCACCCACTCCTCAACCCTGCCCTCCTTGCCGGTCTGCACACTGCAGAAAGCCACAGCAGTTGGCACCTGTGGTTTTCCAGCATGTAAACTCTGCAAAAGACATATGGGAATTGTTTTAGAATTGTACCCAGGCAAGTTTTCCCTATAAACTGACCTCTCAGTTTGGCTTGTGAGGGTATTGCCCTCAAATTACAATATTTTTATATTGGTATTTGACGGTTCTATTTTACTGTCAAATATGTCGTGCAGGCCGCAAATGTACTATTTAGCACCCAAAATTTTTTTAATTGATCAAACTGCACTGTATATAAATATATGAAATAATATAAAACAAATACATAATACAAAATATAAATAAATACACCTGACCTCGGTGTGGGCCCCCACCAGAGGTAGAAATAAAATCAAAATCAGGGATAACCAAAAAAAGGGAGACCCCCAAATGACACCAAATAGCTTAGTAAAAAGCAGGAGCAAATGCACTTTATTACTGCTGTCAGTATCTTCGAAAAAGACCACAGTATTAATTAAACACAAGTGAAAAAAAAAAGCTGTGCAAAAGAATTTGCTGCCCAGAATAAATTAACCTTTAGTTGAAACGCCGCGGTCGAGATCTTCACAAAAGACCACGGCAATCAGCCAGAAGAGACAGGGCGCCAGATGGGGTACAGAGCTGGAAACAAGGAAACAGCCAAAGCAGGTATGTATGTAGATCTACGCATTTCGTTTCACTTCTGAAACTTTATCAAGACAACAATACACTACACACCCAGGGTTTAAATATCCTCTCTGATCAAAGTCAGGGAGCAGGCACTAGGACCCGAACTGGATTTTCATACAAATTGTTAAAGAAAACCTCCAATTTACCTTAAACATAAATATTGCAAATAATAAAATAAAATAATAATAATTAAATCTATATAAAACTAAGACTATTACAAATTACTAGGTGCCAACGGGGTAGAACCAAACTATCTCCGTTAGACACCAAATACTGTAAAAAATATTTAAACTAAGAGTCTCCTAATTATGTTCAAAAGGCAAAGAAATTCATAGACATGAATATAATTATAGAAAATGTATAATAGCAGTTTTCCCATAATACAGGTGGGGAACCCGAAAGAACAATTACTTTATAATAGGTATAACATGAAATTCTGAATCTATAGAAACGAATCAAGTCTGTAAAAGACAGACAGAGGAAGGATGGCAAAGTATTAATATATTCAATTCAATAGAGCTCTTACAGATAGGGTTGGGACACAATATCTCTCAAAAAATAATAAGTAAAAAATATATATTAAATTAAATCATATAAAATGCAAATAAAAAAACTTAAAAAACTTTTATACCTTCAAAATAATTCTCTATGTGGTCCATCAATAAAATTAAACATAGAGCCCACATCTAAAATCCTTAGGAGAATAGCTCTAGTTCCTCATTTAGACCATTAGGTGCTAAAGAATCCAGTCTGAAAATCCATAAGGATTCAGCTTTAGTAAGATCTCTTTTCCTAGTAGCTATATCCCTTGTAGGGGGTACATGATCATTCCCCATCACTTTAATTTGAGTGGGGTCACTCTTATGAAACATTTCAAAGTGGCGTGCCACTGGAGACCTAATGTCCCTTTTCAGTATGGCCGATCTGTGTTCCCTAAATCTAACTTTGAGAGGTCTGATGGTTTAACCCACAAAATGTTGGCCACATGGGCAAATTAACAAATAAACAACAAATGTGGTATTACAAGTAATTTTATGTGTCACAATAAAAAACTTTCTTCACCCTTATAAGGTTTGAAAGTAGACACCTTATGACAGATAAATCTACATGTGAGACATCTATTATGTCCAAACCGCATATTGTTCACACCATTGATAACTTTAGACAGCCCACCAGTACTACTATTCAATTTAGAGGGGGCTAATATATTTTTCAAATTAGGAGCTCTTTTGAACGTGATTTTAGGTCGTTCCGATATACTTGTCAGGGTGAGTGGTCCGATGCCCGGAACCCAGACACTGTCCGAGCGGCGGTGCGTGGACCAGGATCCAATATGCCTGATGTTCAGAGTAGGAGTCACAGAGTGGAGGGGGATTAGCAGGGTCTGGTGCAGGGTAACCGCACGCCCCCTGGTGTTGAGCACCAGCGTTTGTGCAGCCACATACCCTGATTCAGCTTATGCTGATCCCAGGAACTAGGAGTTAAACAGACCTCCCAGGAGCTGAATAGGGAGGCTCTGCAGCAGGAGTGTATCCAGTACTGAAGCAAGGCAAGACTAGAAATAGGCACTATACATGAAAACAAGACAAAACTAGGAGAACAGGGCAAGACTAGAGATAGGCACCATACATGAAAACAAGACAAAACTAGGAGAACAGGGCAAGACTAGAGATAGGCACCATACATGAAAACAAGACAAAACTAGGAGAACAAGGCAAGACTAGAGATAGGCACCATACATGAAAACAAGACAAAACTAGGAGAACAGGGCAAGACTAGAGATAGGCACTATACCTGAAAACAAGACAAAACTAGGAGAACACAGAACCAGAGCAGGACAGAAAGCAGAACATGTACACAAGACATGAGGAAAACAAGAACATAACATGGGCATGACTGGACAGGACTGTACATGTGTGAGAGGACCGACTAGAGAGGAAAATCAGTCTGGCGGCAGCATTCATTACAGACTGTAGCGGGGCAATAAATATTGAAAGTAAAAAAAAAAATACACTCACAAACAAGGAGCTTCCAATTCAGCTTTTAGTGAAAACTTAAAGTGGTGTAATGCCCTCTCAGGGAAATAGTTGGAAAGGAATGTTCCTCCATATTTTCCAATGGATATATAAAAAATATAAATAAGGAAAATAGTGCTCTGTTTAAAATGTAAAACACACTCAATAAGTAGAAATAAAATGTACTCACATTTGAGGGAGCATGTATATGCACGTTGGTAACAGCGTGGGTGGTACAATCCCCACCTGGTAAGTAAGTACGGCACAGCAGTGATGGCAGGTAATTTTGATTGAAATAGGATGATCAAGGATAAAAATAGAATTAAAACAGGGCTAAATAAAAAATATTAGAAAAATGTATGGTAAAATTAACTTTAATTAGGAATTAAACATTTTTTTTGTTAAACTTTTTTTTTACCAAACAAAATAGTCAAAATCAATGTATAAAAAAACTTATCAGTCTTTAAAATCACGCATTTCGCCAAGCTGGCGTATTCAAGTAACTATGATAAGGGTCCTGCATGTAGCCCTATTTATAGGGCATTTGAAACTACAAACAATTTGAAACAGGTGTGATAATGACGTCATCGAGGTCACATGGCCAATACAACACATGTGTGATTCATTCATAACAAATTAATACAATAAACTTAATACATACAAAATATATTCTGTGAGTGCAAATCACCAATAGCTGATATATAATAGAGAAGCGTGGTGATTACCTTTATTTTAATGTTAAAAGATATAAAAACAAGGAAAAAAGTGAAATATCAGAAGAAAAACACATTTCCCATAATTCCTCATTGAATAGAGTCGTAGTCACGTGCTCCCATTTAAACATCCTAATAGGTTGATATCTGTTGGAATATTGTGCCCGCCTTCTGGCTATGTGTAAACAAAAATCATATGCATATGTCAATCTCGTGGTGCATATAATACTTTTGTCTAAATGATGTGAGTGACATAGAGGGTATGCTGAGATTGGGGCACAGGCACATTAATCACACTCTGATTTCCAGGCCAGGAGGAGTGAAGGCTGGGTATATAAAATACCGCTGGCGGAGTACTAGGTCCATACTGCCTTGTGGCTGTCAAATTGAGGAGTTGCGTCTTAAATTGCCATAGAAACCCCATAGTAGGGAACTGGAAATAATTGTAGCTTGATTCATTTATTTGAATAGTGTAGAGTGGAAGGGATACATTGCTAAACACAAATACATACACCAGTCAAGCCACAAGACTTGCTTTTCCCACAGAAATCTCACTTTAACAGTGCTCTCACTACTTCAAATGACAGTGATAAGGGTCCTGCATGTAGCTCTAGTATGTACTTTACAAGTAACCAACCTCATGCTGATGAGTTGCATTGACAACGAAACAGTTGTCCATGAGTGGTTCACTGGCTTTGCTCCTCTTCCTCAGTTGTGTTTCAAACCTGTTCTATACAGCAGACACATACTCAAAGGAATCCATGTATAATCCATGTATAAAGTATGCTCATTTGCATACACCTAACCAGAATTGCTTGCAGTAGTGAGAGCACTGTTAAAGTGAGGTTTCTGTGGGAAAAGCAAATCTTATGGGTTGACTGGTGTGTGTATTTGTGTTTAGCAATGTATTAACTATCCACTTACTTCAGGTGGAAGGGGTTTTCATCCACAATTTTTTCCCCACCACAGCTCTGTTGGTATTTTTATATTTATATATAGATAAAGATATATATATACAAAACAGATACAATTTGTATCTTGTAATACCTTTTTTATTGGACTAACTAATTTTTTAATGACAAGCTTTCGGGAGAACCTCCCTTTCTCAAGTCTGAAGCATTTCTGGGCAAGACGACACATAGAATTCAAAGTTGAGTTGTTATACAGGGGTTAAAGCGACATGAGTGCATATAAGACACAGGTTTGTTAGAAAATAGACACCATTCTTGTAAAGGGTCATAAATATCTGTAACGATACCTTACCTTTCCCCGCCGGACCCGTGCAGAACGACGTTCTCTTCTCATACTTCTGGGAGGTGGCTCAGTCTTTATGATGCAGCCGCTCACAACACGCCCTCTTTTATGAAGCGGAAAAATAGTGCCGCCAAAGTTCAAACGTGGCCACGCTCCCAGACCTTTTGGGGGCATGGTTTTAAAGCAAAACACTATAAAAGGGCACCCATGGTATTTGTTCAGCGCCCTAGTGTGGTTCTCGTTTGAGTCCTCTAGCGCTCTTTATATTCTGACTGATTTTTTTGGTATCTGACTCTTGTGTATGTCCTCCTTCAATGATAAGAAAGATCTTAGGCTTCTTCTACCAGTGGTTATTGAATGGGAAGGTAAGAAGGTACCAACCATTGCCTTGCTAGATTCTGGGGCGGCTGAGAATTTTGTTGATCGCAAATTCTGCCAGAAACATGCTCTCCCATTTCAAAATAGACCAACACCCTTGGCCGTTGAGGCCATATATGGTAGACCACTGTCATTTCTTTTCAAAACTAATCCAGTGGTATTGGCTGTAGGTTCCCTGCATAGGGAGGTTATAACCCTGCAACAAATCACCTCTCCCATCTTTCCTGTTATCCTCGGCTTTCCTTGGCTCTCCAGACATAATCCTTTTATAGACTGGGAGAGAAAAGAGATTTTAAAATGGGGTGATACTTGTCTTAGAAAGTGTACTACTCCAATAGAACACGTAGGTTTGCTTAATGTGCCTACTATTGAACCTTTAACCACTCAGGTACCCAAACAATATTTAGATCTTAAAGCAGTCTTTGAACCACGGGAGGCAGAAAAGTTACCTCCGCATCGTGCATACGACTGCCACATTGACTTGTTACTCGGCACTATGCCCCCTAGAGGCACCGTCTATCCCCTCTCTATAGCCGAGACTAGAATAGTACATCACAGAGAACTTAAGGAAAGGATTTATTACTAAATCTTCCTCCCCAGCTGGCGCTGGTTTTTTTCTTTGTCTCCAAAAAGGAAGGGGATTTAAGACCCTGTATTGACTATCGGGGTTTAAAAACTATACAGAACGCTTATCCTATTCCGTTAATAACAGAACTTTTTGACAGGTTGAAGGGGGCAACAATATTCACTAAATTGGATTTGCGGGGAGCATACAATTTAGTCAGAATTAAGAAAGGGCATGAATGGAAGACTGCTTTTAATACTTGGTCACTACGAGTATCGGGTCATGCCCTTTGGGTTATGTAACACCCCAGCAGTCTTTCAAGACTTCATTAATTATGTTTTAAGAGAATATTTACAGATGTTTGTAATAGTCTATCTAGACGATATCTTGATCTACTCTAACAGCATTGAGGAACACAATAAACATGTCAGGTTGGTTCTTTCTAAACTATTAGAAAATGGACTTTACTGTAAGTTAGAGAAATGTCTGTTTGACAAAGACTAAATACATTTCCTGGGTTATATAATTTCAGGGTCTGGCTTTCAAATGGAACCAAAAAAGCTAGAAGCTATCCTACACTGGCCCTTACCCGTAGAACTCAAAGCCATCCAACGTTTCGTGGGATTTGCAAATTACTGTTGGGGAAAATATTATGTATATATCTGTTTAAAATGTGCTTGATTAAGTCTGTGTGTATGGGAGGTCAGGAATTATCTTCAAAGGGAGTTTCTGTTTAGATAGCTGGAAAGATACAGCACCTGAAAGGCACCAATCACATTTACATATCAACTGGTCTTCAAAGGAGTCCCTATCTAGAAAAACACACCTTAGGTTAGAGGCAAAGGGATGGCTGGGAGAGTTAACACTTAAATAAAATAACAGGATAGACAACACTTTGGGCCTTGGGAAAGTAAATGACATTTACATATCAATTGAGCTGAGGAATTTGCTATTTACAACATGGGAACCAATTCCTTTAAAAATAGAAGATACTGACATCACATTAGATTAGGTTTGGTAAGACACACAAGCTGCACATAACATCGCACAGCACATACACAATGTAGCAGATAGTATTAGATAGATGGAATGTATGAGTGCTATGAATGTATTTTAACTATAACTCTGTAACATTCTTCTTCTGTAATATTTAACTGGGCAGATTCTAAGTAAAGATTTCTCTCTGGTAAGAACTATGGTGTTGGCTGTTTATTTGTAATACTGGGTAGAATACCTTAGTAGTGCTAGTCATATATTTATCTGGACAAGGGGATAAAGATATATGTTAGTTCTTGGAAGAGGTGACACAGGGATATTACATTCACTATTAATACACAACGCAGAGTGGATTTCTCTCAAAAGGATACCAATTGGAAGTATTGGTGGTGAGAGAAGGATTAAACAACAATTACTACAGGAAATTTATTAAGGGATTTTCCTCTATCACCGCCCCCATCACTGCCATGACTAAAAAAGGAAGGAATCACATGGAATGAAGTTTTGAGGCTAAGGAAGCTTTTGAGGGATTAAAAAAGGCTTTTTCCTCAGCGCCAGTATTGAGACATCCCGATCCTTCACGTCCCTTTCTATTAGAGGTAGATGCATCAGAAACTGGTATTGAGGCTGTGTTATCTCAAAGATCCTCTGATGATCAACCGCTGCATCCCTGTGGATTTATTTCTAAGAAATTAACGGAAACAGAAAGAAGATATGATATTGGAGATAGGGAATTGCTGGCTATTATCTCAGCTCTTAAAGGGTGGCGTCATTTATTAGAAGGGTCATCTGTTCCAATTACCATCCTTACGGATCATAAAAACTTTTTTTTTATTTCGGAGAGGCCAAAAGAATGTCAGACAGGCATTGTAACTTATAGACCTGGATCAAAGAACACTAAGGCCTTATCCCGTCAACATGAAAATTTATCACCTCCCGAAACCCACTTATCCTCCATAATCCCAGCCAACCTCATAATTGCCACTGTTCATGCCAAAATCTCTTCTGGGTTGATGGAAGAACTATCCAAATTCCAGGATCATGCCTCATTAACCGTTCCCCGGGGAAAATTATACGTACCCTTGGCTCATAGAAAAAAAGTCTTATCCCTTGTACTGTTGGGGATAAAATCAGCCCGGGCCCTTTGTGGATGATGGATATTTGCCAACTCATTCAGAGCTCTGGAAATTGGAAATGAATAGCAGAGACGTGTTCAATAACCAATTCAAATTGTATTCATACGTCAGTTATATTTATACCCCATTTTCATAGCAGGATGGGAGGGGGAAAAATGAGCATATGGGCGTGACAATGACATTGTTTTTCACAAGTTATAAACAGCTGCTTCTAGTTATAATTCAGTGTTATATAATGTATGCATATTGGATAAAACCCAGATGATTACAAATACCGAAATCTTGGACAATTAACAAGAACATCCCAAAATCCTTATCCAAGAACATCTCATGTAAAAATCCTTTTCCAAGAACATATCAAAATCATTTTCCAAGAACATTTCCCGTAAATAGGATTTTAGATAAATTTTATTTCCGAGAATCGGAGATACAATTCCAAATTTATTCTTGGTTCAAATTAACCCTTATATGAACAGCTAGGATATTAAGCAAAATGGATATTCATATCCTACAATTCCTCTCTTTAGATCATATCATGATCTACCTTACAGAATATCCATGGGAGGTCTGCGGCAGAGAAACGAAAGGAGGTATATTCAGACCTGCTAATCACGTCTGTGTGACTTTCATTATTTCTTCACCTCCATTTCCCCCATTTGCTCTATGCCGTAGGTTTTCCCTTTAAGAGGAGATCGAGCTGTCGATTTTCAGCTTCTGTAATCATCTGTTGTACACATCTTTTAAGTGTACAAGTTAAATATTTCAAACAGATGACATGTTAACCAATTTTAAACAGACTGCACATCATGTTATCTGTAACTTGAGCCTTGGATCAAAACAGGCAAAGTGTATTATTCCCAACCACGGGAATATTATTATTATAATTCCCAACCACGGGAATATTATTATTATAATTCACAACGTAAACACATATAATCAAAAATGGGAATAAAATCTACTTCCCCTCTTTGGACCAGGATCTTGGATTACCAGTCCACCCAGTGAACTTGGGCCAGGTCAAAAAACCCAGTGGCAAAAACTCAAA